GCCCTTATCCCCGCCCCCCCCCCCGCCCCCTCGCCTCGCTCCCTGGGTTTTATTAGAAAGATTAAAACAGAAGAGACAAGCAATGGCCCATTCCCCACTAACCATCTGCTGTGTGAAGACACCGCCTAGAGAAATGCAAGGATCAGCTGGAAGAGGGCAGTGGGAGGCTTTAGGAATGGGAATTTGGCCTTGTGCTAAGCTGCAGAGGAAAATGTACTTTAGACTGGCTGCCTTCTGCAATAGACCTCCCCTCCTGCGGCAAGAGTGGTGGGACTTCAGGCAAAGGGCTGGGGCCACCACACAGGGATGGATTTCATTTCTATGAACCGTGAGGCAGCCGGCTGAGCTGCAAACTTGTGGCTCTGTTCTGTAGCAGAGAGGTGGACTGAGAACACAAACCTCCAGGCTTTGGATATGAATCTCTTGTCACCCTGCGCCCCCTTTTGCAAAGTAGGGGTGAACTGGTACAAGTGAGTGGAGAACCCTCATCGGCAGCATTTCGTCGCTTTGCACCCGTTAGATTAGGTTACAAGGTCCAGGCCCTGGAGAACCAGGCCTTTTATGTACTGTGACGTAATTCAGCCAGAAATCTCGTACAGACAAGGAGGCTGTTTTATGCAGGTGGAATACCCTTGCCCAGTGGGGCATTTGTAAGTGTGGCTCTTGGTTAAGAGTAAAACACGAACATGCAATTTCAATCTGTAACTGGCTTTGGAGTGTCCTGCTGAGAGCAGAGAATTGGCAGGAGGCACACGGGAAGTCTGCTGGGAAACAGGTATTTGATCTTTTCTGTTAGTTAGAAGGAATAACCGTGTGCGTGTCAAGGGGTGAGCATTACACTGACTCTGGAACTGACTTAAAATGTTGGTCAGGTTTCTATCTCGCTGTTATTAATGGCAAATAAGTAGAATTCAAAGTGACTCTGTGAAAACAGCAGCGTGAGGTTCCATGTCATTTGCTCAGTTTGCAAGTCCAAAAGATTTTTATTTTTCCAATCGCTGGCCCTGCAAAAGTGATCTTGGTACAGATTGAACCTCTCTAGTCTGGCACCTTTGAGACCTGGCCGGTGCCGAAACCAGAGGCTTTTCTGAACTACAGGTCAATGTTGCCTCGCAGCATTACCAACACTTCCACTGCTCACTGGGCTCTTAGACATTTCGGGGTAAATTCAAGCTTAATTACAGCAGAGAACCTGAGAGCCAGGACTGGTGCCTGTGAACAAACTTTATGTGACCACGGGAAACTTAGCCACACCCATGGTAAGTGGACATGTGGCTAACTAAAATCATGCTGGACCACAGTTGTTGCCAGACCAGAGTGCCGGATTGCAGAGGTTCTGAAAGTGAAGTTCTGTGGCTCACACATCACTAACAAAAAAGATTCTGCAACGGGAACTAATTCAATAACTTTGCAAAGGGACAATGAACCAGACTAGAATCCAGGTCGCTCTCTCTAAGCTGTATGAGCTCTCTAGAGCAAAGAAATGCAGCCTAATTTTAGCCAGTGAAGTCAGCAGATATGTCTGAATAAGCACAGGCAAATAAGCCAGGTCAGAGGGTATCGTTTTTACTATGAAGAACCACCCGTGAAAATGCACAGCTTGGTCCAAGGTCCTTATCTTGAACTGATACTTTAATTTCATACCAGAATTAAGACTCTAGACCAGGCATTTCTAAGGTGATTACTTCACCACAAAAGAGTTAAAGTCACTTGGCCTTGAAGTTTGAAATGGTGACCAGGCGCACACACCACTTGCTGTGTTTATTGCAGAGGAAAACGGAACACTAGCATTTTTAGGGCCACGTTTTCAGCCAACCCCTGAGTCTTGGTGGTGCAGGACCAAAACTGCAAGCACATTTTTCTATCTGCAGTTATTTGTGCTGCCATTTTAGGTCCTGTAGATATCTGAGATCTCAGTCATCCCCATAATATTGTATCCACATTGTCCACTAAAACAGAGACCAGTCTCCAAATCTGGCCCTACAGACTCACTGAGAGTTTTAGGTTCAAGCTGTAATTGATACATGCACTTGCGTGAAGTGAAGGCACTTGGTCTCATGTTCCATAAAACATCCAAGGCAAATAGTCGACTATTCACATCTGCCCCCTTGCTGCCTCTATATCAGAAGCTGGTTACCCCCAGCACCGTCTCCACAGTAAGGGGGGGCAGGGGAGGCAGAGCTGCCCCTTGGAGCTAACCCTGCTGCAACTCTGCAGTTTAAATATAGTAGGAGCCGAGGTGGAAATAGTGGTATAGGAGAAGGAAATTCCATCAACTACTCGATTAGCTGATTATCCACAATTTAACATCCCTAATTCAGACACCTGTTATTACTGACACCTCTATCTGTAACTATTTACATATTGTAACTATTATAAATAACGTTTCAGAGGGGTAGCCATGTTAGTCTGTTTCAACACAAACAATTAGTCCTATGGCATCTTAAAGACTAACAAATGTATTGGGCATAAGCTGAAGCAGTGAGGCCCAGCTCATGAAAGCTTATGCTCAAATAAATGTGTTAGTCTTTACGGTGCCACCAGACTCCTTGTCTACATGACAGGTTGCACTCTGTAGTTGGGCAGCTGCCCCACTTTGGCATAGGAAGGGTTAAAGCAGGCTGGAGCGAGCCTGTGCAGAACCCAGCCAATCAGGGATAAGCTTGCTGCAGCAGCCCAGCTTTATAAAGGGCTGCTCCCATACAGCAGAAGGCAGTCTCTCCCTGGAGGGCAAGGGAGAAAGCCTGGCTGCCTTAGGCTACATCTACACTGCAATGCTATTTTGGGATACCGGAATATCCTGAAATAGCTGTCCCACGTTTTAACAGCAAGCCTGTTATTTCAGGCTTGCTATTCCAACGTCCCTGTAAACCTCATTCCATGAGGAGTAAGGATGTTTCGGAATAGCAGGTTATTTCGAAATCTGGCGCTGTGTAGACAGTGCCAAATGACGAAATAAGCTATTTCGAAATAAGACTGAAATAAGATACACCATTTGCGTAGCTGCAATCGCGTATTTTATTTTGAGCTATGGTGCAGTGTAGACACACCTGGGATCAGCAAGACTAGACCAGACCAGACCAGTGCTGGGCAGAGTCCAGGGAGCTAGAGGGAGCTCCAGCCTGATAACAGCCAGACTGGGCCATAAAGCTGCAAGAGCTATGGGGAAGCAGGCAGCAGAGGGGAATGGAGGAAGGCAGTAGCGACTGCTGCCCGAGGATCTCTGGACCTGGGTCCCCTTTACCTTCCTGGCCACTGAAGGAGGTGGCCAGCATAGGACTGCAATTTGCCCAAGATGACCGGATTTACATGCTGGAATTTGGCAAATCTGGAAGACCTGCTTGTTTCAGGTCAGAGACGTTTGGTGATCCCATGATTATGCCGCTTCATGCAGAGGAAAGGAGGACAATGAGCAGCAATGGGATAGCCTTGCCAAAGCAGGTGATGCACCCCCTACACTTGGTAACTTTCACTTTCCAGCTCCTTTTATCCAAGAACCTCCAAGCACTTCGCAGTCTCCCCTTAACTCTCATAACTCCTGCCTGCAGTGGAGATGATGGGAAACCTGAGTAAGTGATTTCTGGCCAGTTGAGCCCTGATTCCAGCCCCCAAGTCCAGCTATGAGACAACAGTGCAGACTAAAGACCAGCTGGCTTAGCAGGACCCAGCTGAAGTTAAATTCAATTGTTTAATTTGTCAGTAAAAACAAACACTTGAGAACAAACCACATCGCAACCGGGGAAGAGTCCGGGGAGAAAGCGCCTGTCGGAGGCTGGCTCAGCTGCAGGGGTCTGCTCTCAACATGCAATACCCTATTTCACAGGGCTCTTTTTCTTAGAGTTAGGAGGTGGCAAACTTGCCGTCTCAGTGAAGAGAGGCGGGACCTTCACACCCTTCTGTTTCAGCAGTGAATGAAAATCCACCCGGTCACTAATTATTCTCTGGAAATCAGACACATTCACAGGAGAATCCAGCATTAGCCATGGCGGTGACAGGATCATTAAGCTTTTTCTTCTCCCCTTGCCTCTCTGCTGGGTCCCCAGCTCGGGGGTCCAAGCAGAAGCATCATTCCACACTGAATCACATACCTGCATGGTCTCCAGAGCCTCCTCATCGCTAATTTCGGCTTGGGGGGATTTGATACCAGCAGCGCTGTATGTGGCCTGAATGATTTTGCATCGAAATCTTTCAAACTTTGATTTTAAAAAGAGAGAAAAAAACCCAACCTTAGTGTAAGCTGAAGCGTTAAACAGGTTTCCTCCAAGTAAAGACGGATCCTGTCTATAAGCAAAGACCTTCTCTCGCTAGAGGGGGAATTGGCAGTAAGCTCTGCTTTGAAACTAAGTCAGCGAGGGGGTTGGTATGACAGCTGGCATTCGACAGGCTGCGGTGTCTCTGACTGTCCCCTGGACATCAGCGAAAGGCAAGACTGAACGCTTGTTTCTGTGAAATTCTGCCCTGCGCCAGGTCTGTGGAGTTCCAGCTGGCTTCACAAGAAGACCCACATGGACATCTAATGGCAACATGTGCCTCTGGATTCATAAGATAAGCAAATCTGACCTGCAGCAGGTCTGAATGTGGCCCGTTCAGACTAAATATGAGAAATATCTTCCCATGATGGCTGTTTGAGGGGGGGGGAGGGTCCCAGAAGGGTTGGGAGGCTGTGGGATAAAAATCAGAAGTCTGTAGGGTTGCCAGGTGTCCGGTATTGACCCGGACAGTTCAGTATTTTCTCCTCCTGTCTGGTAAAAAAATCAGAAAATACCAGACACCTAAAAAGGCCGGTCCTTTCTGATTTTTTTCCCAGCCAGGAGGAGAAAATTCTGGCTGCTTACCAGGGTCCGCAGGGGAGCTGCACGGCCCGGTACAGGGAAGCAAGATGGCAGATGGCCGCCAGCAGCCTGTTAGGGCCAAAAAGCCTCAAACGCATTTCTTAAATGGGCCATGCAGTTTGTTTGTTTATTTATTTATTTATTTTGCTTAACAACTTTGGTCTCCCCCTTTTTTTCCTCAACAGAATTTTTTCCCCAGTAGGTTTTTTGTTGGGGGGGGGGGGGTCGGTATTTTTGGTTAAACCATCTGGCAACCCTAGAAGTTTGGCATGGTAACTATTCTGCTCTGAAACCCCTGGGCCTCTTTTCTCAGTGTCCCATCAGACCCATAACTGCAACAAGGGCCACTGGCAAGCACAGCAGCCCAAGCCGTGAGGGAAAGGTTGGGGCACAAGTGGACTGTTAACTGCCAGCCCCTCGGTGCCTGAGGTGCGAAGGAAGACAGGGCCAGGGAGCCCCGTGCAGGCCACCCAATGATTGTGTCTAAAGATGGCTCTGACTAATCTGGGGCCTTGGGTCTCATTGGCCGGAGTCTTCCCCTCAGAGAAGCCTACAGTGAAGTTGGGTCTCATTGGCCGGAGTCTTCCCCTCAGAGGAGAAGCCTACAGTGAAGGAGGCGCCTTTACCCTGGCGTTGGTGCACTCCAGTGCGACTTTGGCCTGCTGCTCAGCGTGCTGCAAGGCCTCCACTTGGCTCTGCAGCTCACTTTGCTCACGCAGCTGCTTCTGGATGTGGTGCTGGGCTACCAGAACCTCTGCCTGGAGCCTGTTGATCTTGCCCTGCAAATCATCAATCAGTTTGTTTTGCTCGGCCAGCTTGGCTTCTTGTTCTGCAGTGTCCTGAGGAGAAACACAGTTCAGGAGGGACGGAGGAGACGGCTGCCTAACTCAGACACAGCTCGCTAGCGATTCTGCCCGGCTATTCCAAACCCCTCTGTGCTTCCCAGTGGGCAAGTAGCAGCATATGGCAGTGCCCAGACATGTTAGTGGTTTGGGATGTTGTCCCCCTCCCCCAGGTTTACCTGTAGTGTTTAATAACCATGAAACAGATGTGTTCCCTTCCTCTTCCATTCAGGCTCATTAGAAATATTAAGCTAAGCAATAAAGCATATTGAGAAACAAAATAGGCCAGGCCTGTCCCATCTCTGATTTTCATGGCAAAGACTCCCCTGCAAAATGAGGGAGGCCATGGATGGGATGAGCACTGAGACTAACTAGAGCGAAGACACAGAACACCAGTGCTGGGCAGCGAGCAGGGACGGCCGAGAAGAGCACAAAAGGCTCTCAGAGGGGTTTGGTTTTGTTTAATTTATACAGGCCCAGACCTAAGAGGGGCGCAGCAGGGAGAATTAGGGTGTTGGCTGCTGTAACTAAGCACCAATGAGCCACCTGTCGGAGTTTGTAATTCTCTCTCTCTATCATTCCCATCATCTCTTCATGCTTCCGCTCTTCTCGAAGGCTGGAAAACTGAGAGAAAAGGCTCCAGTTAACACTCTTGGAATCATATTTCCTGAGTTGTTAAAAAAGAAGGAAACCAACTCTCACTGAGTAAGCTCCCAGTGTGTCACAGTGGTAGCCACTAGGCTGTGCTGTGCTCCGTGACTATACCTTGGCAGACATGGCTTGTAACTGATTTCCCCGCTCTCTAAGCTCCTTCTGCAGAATTTCCTTGTCAGACTCAGCAGTCCGCAGCTGTGACTCCTGGAAAGCCAGCTGCCTTTGCAAGGAAGTGATGGCACCTGTAAAATCCGAGTCAAGTTTTGAACCAACTGAATCCCTGGCAAAGCCCTCAGGAAGTCTCCCCGGGCGATGAAAATGGGGGCAGCCATTTTATTCCATAATCCAAAAGTCACCCGGCTGTGGAGATCAGTTATCTTAGAATTACAGTAACTATGGAAGTACAATGGGCTAACTCTGCTGCTGAATGATACTTTATCCTTTATTGCATCACTGACTTGAAGGGTCCATTTCTTAATACAGGCAGTCCCCGGGTTACGCGGATCCGACTTATGTCGGATCTGTACTTACGAACGGGGCTTTTCTCGCCCCGGAGGACGCGGGCGGCGGGACCGCCCAGACACGCCGCGGTCCCGCCGCCCAGGTCCTCCACGTCTTTGCTCCGCGTCTCCCTGGTCTGCTGGGGACCCCCCAGTAGACCAGGGAGACGCGGAGGACCCGGGCGGCGGGATCGCGGCGCGTCTTGGTCCCGCCGCCCGCGTCTCCCTGGTCTGCTGGGGCGGGGGCGCACTAACTGCGTTCCCCCCCCCCCCACCAACCCAAACCTTTCCCGGGGTCCCCG